TAGAGGATACATAATAAGTCACAATTTTATTCAAATCTAACAGTTTATTTTACCTTAAAATCATCTTGACCTCCTCACCGTTTAAAAAGTGCTGTAACCACACACCCAGTTTGCAATATAGTTGTCCTCACTTACAGATTGATACCTTTGGTTTCCTACTTTTAGTGTCACAGCAAGCGACTTGACGGCACATAACAACAACATATTTATTATGTGGGAGAAGGATGGGCAGTCTTCTCCCGTGCAATTAACTGCCTCTAAAAACCCACTGGAGGGTCAGCTATGGGTCAGTTCCGACTCTATGGTACACACAATACTAATTTTACTTTGGATATTTCTATGTCTTCTACGGTGCACAACAATACTAATTATACTTTGGATATTTCTATGTCTAGGTTGATTTGTGAATGATGATGTCAATATGAATTTTGGGCTGTTGCCTGTCATTGCGGTTTCCTGGTCCAAAGAATTCTCTTTAGTGTTGAAATGATGGTGGGTCTAGTTCCCACACATTTCCTTAGCTTCTGTTCACCTGGAAATGTACTACCCTCACTGTCATTATCTGATAGAAAAATTTGCTGGATATAAAATTCTTGGTTGGCAAGTTTTCTTTCTCTCTTTCTCTCTCTGTGTGTGTGTGTGTGTGTGTGTGTGTGTAGGTGTATTTGTTTTTTCCCAAGATGCTTCCAGTCAGGGATAGCTACCGTGAGGAGACAAAGTGTTGACCTGAGAGGCCGAGGATGGCATACACCTCAGAGGGTGCACTGCTCCAAATGTGGCTGTGGAGTATGTTGGGCAAGGGTGCGCAGTGAAAGGTAGGACCTCTCGGAGGTGATGTCTCCACTAATGCACCGGTCAGCTATAGGCCCAGGGCAGCACAGTCCATGGGCTCCCAGAGGCTAAAGCCACATATGCTCTTCGTGCTAGATACACAATGTCCTGGGCCTGGCCTCAGGCAGAACTGGGGTCGGTCAGGAGAAAGCTGCCAGAAACCTGGTGAGTGGTGATGGTGGTGGTGGAGGTCTCTTTTCTGATTGGCTGGAGGACATGGGGGAGTAAGTGGAGAAGGATACTGCCATAGGCCTGTGCCCCAGGAGACAGCTATTCAGGGTGGCTTCACTATACTGTTCTGTGCTCCATTTATCTCCGTAGTCTGTTTTTATTCAATTACTTTGTGTAGTCAGCGTCTGCAAAGCTTGCATCTTATCCATGTCTTTAAAAAGCTGTTTAATCTGCTCATAGTTTTATTCTAACATTATAATGTAGGCACAAAACATGATTTTTGTTTACTATTCCATAATAAAAGAAAAAAGTCAGAAATTCAATCACACCTGTGACTGCTTTTGCTCTAAAGAGAAAACATACTTTATCTGAGCAATGGAGAGAAAGAAAAGCAAAGATGCACCAGGCAAAGTGTAAGAGCCTCAACTAACTGAAGACTAACCTGAGGTACAAAATTTCTCTAAAATATAATGTATTTAAGGGGTACTTCATTGCTTTTGTCTTTTATTTAGATGAACTGAAAAGAGTCATTTGTGATATATTTGTCTCTAACAACAAGCCTTAAAAAGAAATCCTTCAGAAATTCAAAACAACTAACTGCTATTTTCACTAGAAAGAAAACATAATACTAGAAGTCTAGTGAAAAAACAAATAACCTGAATTGTGTATAAATTTCTTACTGAAGCTCATCATCACTTCAGGATATTCATTCCTCTGGCACCAAAACGTTTCTGGGTTAAGTAGAATTCAAGTAACAAAGAAACAACACAAAAATTTAGTAGTCAGGGACAGTACTGATTCTCGGATGAAGCTAGATAATAGTTTTGGTTTCTTAGATTTGTTATAGGTGGTACACTCTCCATTCTTTTGTGTGACAAATACTAGAGTTTGAAATTTAAAAATGTTAACTGAAGACACTGTTGTTATGTACCATCAAGTCAACTGCAACTCACAGTGACTTTATGAACAATAAAGCTATGAACTCTACCCTGTCCTGAGCCAATCTTACAGTCTCTGACAAATATCACCATTACCATAATAATTTTGTCAATTCATCTCATCCAGGGTCTTCCTCTCCTGCACTGACCCTCCAATTTTGCAAGCATGATGTCATTTTCCAAGGATTGGTCCCTCCTGGCAACATGCCCAAAGTACGTAGACTAAGTCTCAAAATCCTTGCCTCCAAGGACAACCTGATTTCAACTTCTGCAGGACAGACTTGTTTGTTCTCTTGCCAGTCCACAGTATGTTCAATACTCTTCTCCAGCACCACAACTTAAAGATATTCATTCTTCTTCTGTCATCCGTAGTCACTGTCCAGCTCTCAGATACACAGCACATAATTGAAAGGACCATGGCTTGGATCAGACACACTGATCTCTAGACTGACATCGTTGCTCCTCAGCAGACTTTCCCAAAGCAACTCGTCTTCTGATTTCTTGAGTGCTGGTGTCAAGAGTGTCGATTAGGGATATGCGCAAAATGAAACTGTTAACAACCGCAATCTCTTCTTTGTCTATCATAATGATGCCAACTGACTCGGTGGTAAGAATCTTTGTTTTCTTGATGTTGAGATGCAATCCATACTGAGTACTGCAGTTCTTGACCTTCTGCAGCTAACGACGCTTCAGGTCTTCTCCACAGTTTCATGAAGCAATGTTGTGTCATCTGCATAACCCAGATTGTTGATGAGGCTTCTTCCAATCCTGATGCCACATTCTTCTTCATAAAATTCAGCCTCCCGGATGATTTGTTCTGCATATAGATTGAGCAGGTATGGAGATAAGACACATCTCTGATGTACTCCATGTAGTGTTTCCTTGCTCTGTTATGACGACTGCTTCCTGGTCTAAATTTAGATTTCACATGAGCATGATCAAATGTTCTGGGATTCTCATTCTTCTCAATCTTCTCAATGTTAACCACAATTTGTTGTGATTCACATAGTCAAATACCTTTGCACAGCCAATAAAACACAGACAGATATTCTTCTGGTATGCTCTGTTTTCAGCCACGATCCATCCGACATTGGCAATGATATATCCTTAGTGCCATGGCCTCTTCTAATCCAGCTTGTATTTCTGGCAGGTCTCTTCTGATGTACTGTTTCAGTCATTTTTAGATAATCTTCAACAAGATTTTGCTTTTGTGGATATTAGTTTGATAATTTCCAAACCTTTTTTTTTGAATGGGAATAAATATAGATCTCTTCCAGTCAGCTGGCGAGCTAGCAGTCCTCCAGATTTCTTGGCACAACTTGATGAGCATGTGCAGGGTAGCATCTGTTTGTAGAGATAGATTAATTGGTATTCCATCAACTTCTGGGACCTTGTTTTTTTGCCTATTCCTTCAGAGCAGCTTTCATTTCTTCCTTCTTGATCATATTTCACGGAAGTCTTCTGAGTCAGCCAGCTCATTTTAATACAGTGACTCTGTATTCCTTCAATCTTCTGATCATTCAATATTCTGCCCATAGCGTCTCTAGGTAGTATAAGTTAAGACTTGAATTTGTTCCTTAGTTCCTTCAGCTTAAGAAATGCCAATCTGGTGGCCTAGTGGCAAGAAGCTGCACTGCAATCCTAAAGGTGTGAGGTTCAAATCCACCACATACTCTGCCGGAGAAGGAGTGGCAATCTATCTCCTCCTGAGCCAATCGGATCTGACTCCACAGTATAAAAAAAAGGGGGTGGGGAGAAAGAAAGAAATGCCGAGTATCAGCTCTTTGCACATTTCATTATAATATTTGGCTTTGTCTTCCTGAGCTGCTCTTTGCTACCTCCTTTTGTTAAGCTCCTTAATTTCCTGACTGCTTCCCTTTGCTTTTGGCTTCTCGGCGTCATCCTAATACAATACGCACTCTCACATCCATCTTGGTCTTTCCTTCTTCCTCTGCCTTAAGAATGTAGGGAAACTGGACGTTGTTAAAAAAGAAACGGGACACATAAATATTGACAGAGTAGGCACTAGCAAGCTGAGACGGATTGGCTTGGGACACTGTGAATCAGATAATCACATGACCTACTCTGCTGGGAATCAAAAAGTGAGGGGAAAATGGGGTCGGATTCATAGTTAAAAAAAAAAAGACCATTTTTAGATCCATCCTGAAATACAATGTTGTGAGTGACAGGCTAATATCCATATGCATACAAGGAAAACCTATTACGACAACTATCATTAAAAAACATGTGCCAACAACTAGAGCCTGAGAGGAGGAGATAGAAGATTTCTATCACCTTTTGTTGCCTGAAACTGATGGAATATGCAACCAAGATTCAATAATAATAATCACTGGTGACTGAAATGAAAAAGGTGGGAACAAGGAAGAAGAATCAGTAGTTGGAAAATATGGACCTGGTGACAGGAATGAAGCTGAAGATAGAATGACAGAATTTTTTACAAGCAATAATTTATCCATTGCAAATACCGTTTATAAAAAACATAAACAAAAAAAAAACATAAACAATGACTATACACATGGACCTCACTTAATGGAATACACTGGAATGAGACTGACTTCATCTGTGATAAGAACCGTTGGAGAAGCTCAATATTTGCTGTGAAAACTAGGCCAGGTGCTGGCTGTGGAACAGGCCATCTACTACTCCTGCATAAGCTCGAACCGAAGCTAAAGAAAATGAAAACCAATGCACAAGAACCAAAATATCATCTTCAGTCTGTGGCACCTGAAATTAAAAACCATCTCAAGAGCAGTTTTGAGGCCTTGAACACTAATGAACAAAGAGCAGTTGAGCTGTTGGATGGTATCAAGAATATCATCCAGGGAGAATGCAAAAGAATAAAGATACTACATAAAATCTCCCCACATTCTTCTTCACCTTGCTGGAACATTACTGTCTCACCTTTCTCAGATCTGAAGGTTGACAGAAAAAAAAAATCTTGGTAACTAACTCTGAATTAACTAACAATGACCTAGATCCTTTGTTGCAATTAGTAATAAAAATACGTAATACTAAAAATTCACAATTCCTTTTGATTACCTTTGAGAGCCAAGTTTAGCATATCACCGGCACGGAAAGAAATTTCTTCTTCAGACATGGCATGAAAATCGTACTCTGCCCGAGCAACTACGTGATCATCTTCACCACTTGCCCAGTTGGTGCTGTCTACAAGCCAAATGAACAAGCAGGTTAGTAAAACTTAGAAAATGCAGGCATTTCAGCAGACATGGTTTGTAAGCTGCAGAAAGCTTTTATTTGCCAAGGGAAAAGTTCCCCTTAAAAAGCAAATTTTTTAATTCAAAACCCAAACTCGTTACTTTTACATAGATTCTGAATCACGGTGGGTAAACTGATGTGTTAGGACATAGAGTAAAACTAGGTACTCCACAGAGTTTTCAATGAATACTATGAATAATCAACAAGACATTCATCAGGACGTCTATTAGCGCTTCTTTTCCAGTTGCTAATTTAATGTCTTCTACCGGAAAAAGGGGTCCTCTGGCACTTAGTGGTCAACCAAAAGGGTGGCATTTCAAACCAACCAGCTGCTCCATGGGAGACATGTGAGGCCATCTGTCCAGTGAAGACCTACAGCCGTGGGGATTTAATGAGAGTTCTACTCTGCTGAGTTACTATGAGTTGGAATTGAATCAACAGCAGTGGGTCTAATGTTCTGGTTTTTCATCCTAAAAGCCAGAAGCTGACAAACTTTTTCTATTACAGGGAAAGAAACAGTAAATCTTCCAGGTTTGCAGGCCAAGAGGCAAAATAAAGCACATTGATTATGTAACTACTTACATAATAAGGGGAAAAAATTTTCCACCAAATTTGTAGTCCATTTCTTTGTAATTTAGGTGTAACTACTATGAGTAAAGGATTCTTTGTGAGGGTTTAAAGGTAATGCTTCCTATTATCCAGATGGACTGTAAATGTTCATTTGTTAATGCGTGCTTTGTAATCAGTCTGCATCTTTGAAAACCCTTCCTCAAATGTACAGGTACTGCCAAATAACTGTTAGCAATGGTTTTAATTTCGAAGGTGTTTCTAAACTTAGATATTTACAGAATTCTACTACATCCTTCTCTTGATACTTTCTTTTTCCTATAACATAGTATTTCAGATTAATGACTTTCAATTGAAGGCTAAGTTGAAGCTACTCAATTACATAGTTAAAGAGATTTTAAAAGACTGACATTTCCTTTGCACATGGATAAGAGGGGAGGAAAGCTGTTACGTTACTGCTTAGAGAAGACAGCAGTTCTTAACTTTTGACAGTCTGGAAACTATAAAGCAAAACAGCAAATGGTTATCTCCAAAACCACTTGTCGTTTAATAACAGTTATTCTTCAACTAAACAAGGTTAAAATGATCTTTTAATTGGAGGTTACAATATCCTTACTCAAAATACCTTCTGTAGAATCTGTCATAGCACTGTTGCTGTTAGGTGCCATCGAGTCGACTCTCTGAAAAACAGATCTAAACCCTGCTCTATCCTGTGCCATCCTCACACTTCCAGACACACAAGAGCCCAATGCAGCAGTCACCGTGTTAATCTACCTGGCTGAGGGTCTTCCTCTCACAGTACTGTATTTATCTCAAACTCATCACCCTGCTCGCTGAAACTGAGGAGGACCTCATGCACTTACTGCAGAGGGTCAAGGACTGCAGTCTTCAGTATGGACTGAGGCTCAATGTCAAGAAGACAAGGATTCTCACCACTGGACCAATTGGCAGCATCAGGATGGATGGCGAAGAGATTGAGATTGTTCATAGCTTCAGTTTGCTCGGCTCCACGGTCAATACTCTTGGCACCAGCAGCCAGGAAATAAAAAAACGTATTGCGATGGGAAAATCTGCTGTTAGGGACCTCTCTAAAGTACTCAAGAGCAACGGTGTCTCTGTGGAGACTAAGATGCGCCTGATACAGGCCATGGTTTTGGCAATCACTTGTTATGCATCAGAGAGCTGGACAATGACTAGGGAGGATAGAAGGAGAACTGATGCCTTTGAGCTGTGGTGCTGGAGAAGAGTATTGAATGTACCAAGAAAACAAACAGATTCATCCTAGAGAGGGTTAAACCAGGCTACTCCTTGGAGGCAAGGATTCTGGGGCTTCGTCTGACATACTCTGGGCATGTTGTAAGGAGAGACAGGTCTTTGGAGAGGGACATCATGCTTGGTATGGTAGAGGGACAGCGCAGGAGGGGAAGACTCTTTTTGAGGTGGATTGATTCAGTGACTGGGGTAATTGGGATGGGTGTGTCAGAGGCAATGCGACTGGCACAGGATAGAGCAGGGTTTAGGGCTGTTGTACACAGGGTCGCTATGAGTCGCAAACGACTCGACAGCACATAACAACAACAACAACACTGCTGTCAAGAACAACAAATGCATAGATGACCTTCTCTGGCTTTGTGAAGCCGTAAACCACATGGGGAGAGACTGCCCATCTTCCTGGGAGACTGGATTTTGAATCACCAGAGGGTCGTGGCTCTTTTGTTAGCAGACCATAGTAACATATCTCTGGACAATGTAAACATATTATTGTTGCCATGGGCTGCTGAGTCCAAACTGAGTCACATGAGAGAAGATCCTCCTTCTCCCAAAGAGCAGCTGGTGGATTTCAACTAGCCTACTTTTGGGTTTGCAGAACACCACCTTACCACTAAGGCACCAGAGCTCCATGGGACGCATTTAAACAGTCAACGCTGAATATATTGTCTGCTTAAGTTATTACTGTGAACTTTGCAGAATCAGTATGTTAGGTAATGAGTCAAGTAAATCATTTGCAGGAATGGACTTTGTTTTAAATTTAGTGTGATGCCATTTCCAGCATTCTCAAGTCTCTCAGCAGCTGTTCTCACCCACCAGTTCCACCTTATTTAACTCTGTAACTGTGGGCAAGTGATTTCTGTGAGCCTCAGCCCTTCCATTCATTGTTCCTGTCAGGAGCTGTTGAAAACGACCACAGCGACCCTATGAACAGATCTGAACGCTGTTCTGTCCTGTGGCATCCTCACCATCTGACACACCCGAGCCCAAGGCTACAGTCACTGTGTCAATCCGTCCAACTGAGGGTGTTCTTTTTGCTGACCTTTCACCTTTCCAAGCATGATGTCCCTAAGGAACAGCTTCTCCTAGTAACATGCTCAAAGGATGGGGGGCAAAGCTTCGCCACCCTTGCCTCCAAGGAGCACTCTGCTTGCACCTTCTCTAAGATACATCTATCTGTGTGGTCTCATTCTCAGAGCCTCTTCTCAAACCCATCATCAGCTACAACTCTCTATAAAGATACTAAGTAGTCTGGAACTAGTGCAAAAGCTGAACATACTTCTTGTGAAGTGTACTTTCAATTTAGAAAAGTGATCCCTTTAGTAAGGGAGGCTAATTCCTATCACTTAAGAGTTGTAAGAATTAGAGATAAAACACGACACGTATCTTGTGTGGTAGAAATGCTCAATAAACCTTACTTCTCTCAACCACCTAATAATAACCCTTAGTCTGCCTTATTACAGTTAATTTTAGAAATGTAGGGATTGTGACATCGGGTGGGATAGTCCATAAGGCACTGTGCTGCTAATCAAAGGTGGTACCTCTCTGATGGTTCAAATCCATCCGCAGCTCCTAGTGAGAGGGGTAACTCCTCGTGTGCGATGCTCAGCCTTGGGAGCCCTGGGAGGGTCGGCTGGTTCCGCGGTTAACGATGAGACAGGTGATGCCCTGTGACCACTGTAGTCTCTACAACACCCAGTTTAGTTTCTGGCATAAAGCAGTCGGGTAATATACATTTATAACTGAACAATGAATAAAACTGTCTGTTCCTGAGACACATTCTTCTTCTAATTTTGAATTATTAACTGAAAATATGACGGAATTAAAATATAAAAACAAATGTAAAGAATGTGAATTTAACAAATCTATACCACCCCCCTCTCCACCACTTCACAGCTTGTACTTCAGGCTGGGTCTCAAAATGCTCTTTTTATGTTTGTTGGAATTGTACTTTTTTTTTTTTAACATTGAAAATGTTTTAATTTTTCATTGCTACACATTTTCTTCCCCGTTCCTCTCCTCCCTCCCCCAGTCCTCTCTGCAAGGCATCCTTTCTTCCAGATTACTGTCATACATATAATGTGTAATCCTATATTCCTTTCAGACAGTTCTTCTCCTCATCTGATCTAATGCAGTGGTCATTATCTATCCACTCTTTCCCTATTCTCTCCCCAGTAACAAATCTATTCTTGAAACCAGAGACTGCTGTAAGGTCTGACCCCTCTGCTTGGTCTCACCTGTTACTTCATCATTGTTGGTAGACAGCAGTTTCCAGATGAGGTAAGGACCCCCGAGGATAACAGCAAAGAACAAGAATATTGGCCAGGATTTTGCTGAGTTAGCCCTGTCCTCGGCGCTAAGGCAAGCCACAGTTCCTTCACTTTCTGCCCACAGGTCCTCATTCTCAGAGCCTCTTCTCAACCCCATTATCCGCTGTAACCGTCGATAAAGGTACCGAATAGTCCTGACTAGTGCAAAAGCAGAAAAGACTTTTGTGAAGTGTATTTTCAGTCTGGAAAAGTGATTTGCGACATCCAGCACGGCCCTGAAACTGTTGTAGACGGCTGAGAAGGTGGCGTCCATCATCATACTGACAGAGGCAAAGGCGTGCACGATGCTCTCGATGGACTGAAACGCACCTCTGCTGCTCTCTTCTGCTTGCTGAACAAACCGACTTGGGGGCAGATCGTCGACACGGAAGCGGTTATACCCCAACCCATTATAGCTATAGCTGTACGGGCTATAGCTTCCATAAAAGGAATTTCCATAGGCGCCATATCCCGAGGAAAAGGAACTGTAAGCAGGTCTGAAAGTATTCACACTGCTGCTTCCCGTCTGCTGTGATGGCCTTGGAAGGATGGGTGGGGGCACCCTGGTAAGTGCTGGCTGTCCTGGTCTTGTCAAGAAACTAGCACCCAAGTCAGCGGATCTAAAACACACAAAAGATTAAAAAACAGTCACTTACACACAAAATCAATTCAATTCAAAGGAACTATTAAACATCTCTTGTGTGGCCTAGTGGTTCAGAGCTGTGCTACAATCCTGAATGCATGCAGTTCAAATCCACCAGCTCTTCCATGGGAGAAATACTGACAATCTCCTCTTGTGTGATTAACTGCCTCTGAAAACCCACTGGTCAGTTCCTACTTGATGGTCCACGACAACATATGCCCAGGTGAGAAGGATGGTGCAGGGTACAACAGGGTTCAGCTCTGTTGTTCTTAGGGTCACTATGAGTTGTTCTTGACTTGATGGTACCGGACAATCACAACAGTACAGCAGAAGCTCCGTGGAAGATCGGCCATCTCCCCCCATGTGACGTGCAGCCTCAGAAACCCAACAGAGGGTCCCCTGTGAGTTGCTTTCAATTGGATGCCAGTGAATTTGAGCTTTTGATATACTATGACAGAATGTACTAAAGTAGCTTTGAGTGTGAACATTTTAACCAGAGGCTCAAAATCTCAAGTGGTAAGACAAAACGAACTACTATTAAAGGATCAAATAGCTGACTTTACCCCATCATATATTTACTTATGCTGGCAACATTAGTATTATCTTTAATCACGATGTTTCAAGATGTGTGTCTATTTCCTGAAGGGTAATAACTAGATGGATGTATGTCCAACCTTGCACCCAAACAACAGTATTTTAATTACCATAATTTTCACATCCAATAAAGCAAGTTCGTCTACATTGATTAAAATTTTAAATTCTGTATCTGCTTCTATCAACCCAGCTGATATTCTCTTTGAGAGTACACTGAATCTGGAGGTTAATGGGTTGAGAACTGAAATCTCTGGAACACTCAGAAGAGTTTCAATCCATGAATAGGACATGTATTCCATTTATTTACATCTTTTTCTTTCTTTTCAATGGTTTGCTAACAAAGTTCGTATACATTGTGTTTCACCCTACATTCACATTATGCTTCATACAATCATTCACATGCATTATGTTTTATAAAGTAAATCACCATTGAACTTTATCCTGTCTTTCCCCCCGATCCTCCCCATTTCTCTTTCCCCACACCCCCACCCACCAAACTGTGCACCCGTGGCTTTGCCCCTACCCATCCTTACCCCTCTGCTCCCACCCCTAGACCCCTTGAGCTCTCATGTATGTTTTACTAGTTATCCTTCTATTTTTACAATAAAAGTATTTAGATCTTTTAAAGATTTTTCTAACATTGAACAATTCTTTTACTGAGTCCACGTGTACCAATGTAGGAGTAACAGCAGTGTCTGTATTGTCAATACTTACCTAGATCACAGCTCAAGGCTGATCCCTGTGCAGTGGATATCACATACAGCTCTACCTCCAATCTTTTTGTCAATTCTGACACCAGAACTCCTCTCTTTGGCATGCTTCTACTTCTCTGCTGAGTTCAATAACCCATCTCACAATGGCCAAACAGAACCCATAAACCATGGTCTCATGTTATGCTGTTCGAGGAACAATTTGGGATCAGGATAAGTAGGTTATAATGGCTAGGCTCTATTAGGTTCAGGACGTATAAAGGCAAGTCCCGCTCCAGGTGAGGATGGCTCTCTTGGTCCCCCTTCCGAGCACAAAGCTTTCTCTCTGCTCTCTCTTCTTGCTCTGCTATCTGTCACAGCTTATCTGGCTGCTAAGACCTTTGCTGTCTCTTCTGTACTTTAGCAATGACGCAGCTCATATGGAAGATTCTTTGCCTCCTCACTCTCTGCCTTTTCAGTCTCCTTCCTGCCACTACCTGTCTCTTCCTGTCTGTATCCCCTCTGTGGGGCTATGTGCTCACATCTAGAAACTCCTCTTAGTTTAACTGCATGGGCAAGGACCGATCAATCTCTTCATCCTACACCAAGGTCAAGGACTGACCAATCTCCTCATTCTTCACCTTATCAAGGTCACAGGCCTTCACTTGCTAGTAGCTGTGGCTTAGCCACAACTCAGCTCATTGTTCGGTCTACTGGCTAATCCTTGCAAGGTGTGTATCAATACCTGGACATGTTATATAGCCCAGGGTCAGCACAAAGGGTTGAACCTCAACCTGGACAAAAGTAATGAACTCTCTGGGATAGAGATCCAGGGTCTGGTGAGACAAATATCTCTAAAGTTGTTTTTCCAAAGTACCAAAGCAAAAGTTCATATTTCTATGGAAGTTTGGTGTGTTTTTTTCCCCCCAATTATTATTTTTGTGTGTGTACCGTCAAATCAGATCTGAGTGGTACAGGAGGAGATTGTCCCTCCTTCTCCAGCAGAGCATCTGGTGGATGGTGTGGGGTGTTCTGTTTTTTTTGTTTTTGTTTTTGTTTTTTTTTTAGATTTACTTTATATATTTGATACTGTTTTATGCTACTGTAAATAGTTATTTTCCTAAAATTTCACTTTATTTCTGTTATACAGAAATTCCTGCCTTTCTGGTACATGAAATCTAGGGACGCTAAAACCCAATGGGACTGTCTTGTTTTCTCTGGCTTTCATCTCATCCACTCATTAACACTGTTAGTGAAAAATATTGGAGTTTTTCTTTTTCCTGTTTTCTGTCTTACACAGATTCTAGTTTTCACAAGTTTTATTATATAAAATTATTTTTCTTTTTTATAAAATATGACATTAATTATAATAATCTGTCTTTAGGTAGTTTAGATTTTAAGAATTGTAGGCATACTCCAAGTGAATGCTAGGTTCATTTCCTCTTTTTACTTTATACAGTTTTCATATTCAAGTATTGGTGGTCCCAACTACATACAAAAAAACGTTTTTAAAAATAACACAGTTTTGCGAGTCCTACGTACTACACCCAATGCTACAACTGAAAATCTGCTGATGTGTTCGGCCTCTGATGCTTACTTGCAGATGTTCAATGTTTTATGATGACTGTTCAAAACACTGCCTCACAGCTGAATATGAGAACTGAGAAGAAGAAAAAGGTCCATGACTTGTGTCAAAGCAGACATCACAGAGTGGTTAGCATGAAACCGTTGTAGCTGGTGACTGTCTACAGTCTGCAGGACAATCCTGACCACAAGCGGAGCTCGAGGCACCTGCCCATTCTCTATCTTCACAGGACTTTTTAATGCACCATCATCTCTATGTTTGCTGTAGATCTGTTGTTGATAAAGAAGTTCCTTTTCTATTTATAGCTTGCTAGGAGTCTTAAGTAACAATGAACATTGAACTTTATCAAATTATCCTTCAGAAGCTTTTAAAAATCACATATATAAATGATAAATTAATTCCCAAATACTAAAAGTTGCTTATATTTAAAAAAAATTATATTGGTTTGCACACAAAATTTGTACAGTGTTTTGTTAATATACATTGTGTTTCACACATTCCACGATGCATAATGTGTTTTGGACAATCATTCCCATACACTGTGTTTTATAAAATTAATCACCATTGATCCATGCCTTTTCCAGTCCCCACTGGAAACTCCCGAATTCCTTCACTCCTTCCCTTTACCCACCATACTCTGAGACCCTTCCCCACCCTCCTGCCTCCTCGTCCTTCCTTTTTCCCTTTTGGACTTTTGTACACATCTTACTAGTAATATTTCTATTAAAAAATTCCTTATATTCTTGCAATATAAGTAGCCGAGATATGTTTCTATATATGGCTACTAGTATTCACGAAATTCTGAATTTATATTCATCAGTGAGAATATTCTGTAATTTGCTTTTCTTCTTTTAAAATTTTTTAATTATTTTTTGCGTGTGTACCGTCAAATTGGATCTGACTGGTACAGGAGGAGATTATCCCGCCTTCTCCAGCAGAGCATCTGGTGGGTTCGAACTGCTCATCTCTGGGATTTCAGTGCAGCTTCTTGCCACTAGGCCACCAGAGCTCGTCTGTAATTTGCTTTTCTTGTAAAATTTTTGTCAGATTCTGGTATCAACGTTACATGGTCTCTTAAAAAAAAAAGAGGTTGGATTGCTTAGTCTTTTTCTATCTTTTAACAAAGTCTGTATGATTATTTTCCCTTAAAAAGTTTAGTAAGTCACCTAGAAAGTCATATGGTTCACTTAACAGGAAGGACTTGATCATTACTATAGAAACTTTATTTAGCAACATGCTATGTGGTTTCTGAGTTACTGTTATTGAACTTTATTCATTTGTCTGTAACAAGAAAAAAAGGTATAGAAAAAAGTTGTAGGTTTAAGTAGCTTGATACTGCTATGAAATTTGTACAGTAGTTTATACACATATTGGTCACTCACCAAAGGGAATGTGAGCAGCAGTGTTTTACAGGACGGTTATCTTTTCATCTAAATTATACCTTGCTTCTGTCATCCCCTAAATCACTTTTTCAATTTTTTATCATTTTGTTTCTTTTATGCTTCACTGTGGGGGGTTTTCCTCAACTACTTTGTAGATTAACTGCTGCTCAAAATACTGTTTTTATAAGGAATTTGAACCAACATTTAGATCATCATATTCTTTTTTAAAAAATATTTTTTGATTCATTGTTGTACTTTTTCTTCCTCTCCCCCAGCCCACCCTGTAATTCACCCCTTGTTCCAGACTGTTCTCACACATATAATGCATAATCATATATTCCTTTCGGATGGCTCTTCCCCCATCTATTCCAGTGAACTGTTCCAGTTCATTATCTATCTACTCTTTCTCCATTCTCTCCCCAGCCTTTCCCCCGTTGCCAACGTCTGCCCTAATATTCTTTCTTTATAGAGAAAATTTGGTCTTAAAAAATGCTAGCTTAGCTATACTACTATCACTCTGAGTCCTTCCCACAACTACTTGTCAATAGTTCTACATTATGTTGTTGAAGTAGTTACGTGTCATTGAGTCAGAGCTGATGCATAGCTGATCCTCCAGTATGTTTTCAGAGGCTGTAAATCACACTAGAGGAGCTCTCCCATCTTCCTCTCACTGAACAGCTGATGGACTTGAACTGTGTGCCTTTGGGTTGGCAGAATAGCTCCTTAC